CCAAACAATGTGGTAGAACCAGACAACCTATAATATACATGTATCACTATAATAAGAATACAATAATAATATATACATGATTACGACATATCGTTATGCGAACATTTGCCTAAGCCAGTATGAGTGATGTATTAATGAGACGTATCGTCATCTGACGATCCTACGAATGTTATCGTAAGCGACGGTGCTATGGTAAGTGGTGTTATCAAAAGTGATTATGTTATTGTGAGTGACGATGTTATTGTAACTGATGGAACATGACTAGGCGGCGCAGCCCGTTTGGGTTGTTATTGCTCGCCCCGTAATAACAAGTCAACGGTGGGATCTATTTGGTGAATATATAGTGTGTTAGCAGTGGAGTCACAACTGATTATATATGGGCAGAATCCCTTAACCGTGGTTATTACAGTGTCCCAGAACTTTCTCTTCAAACGTAGTATTCTACTATAGGCTTAGGCCTGCTATAATTCTACGTCGCCCAACGAATCAAGCCGAGGCCTAGCTGTGCAAGATGTAAACTTACTTTCGCATTCCAACGCTCTATAGAACCCTTTTCGTAACCAAACTTAGCTTGCCACCTATAGTTATAAAACGCCGAATGGCGAATATATATGTATATATATGTACATATATATATATATGCACATATATACACATATATACATATATACATATATACATACCTGCCTCTAAAATTGATTTATCTTGTGAGAGAGGCAGAGTATGTTTAGAATCACTATTTCAGAATATGCGAAAGCTCAAAACTTTGAAGAAACAAGAAAAACAATTACTCATTTGGGTAGTCGATGTTCCTTTAACTTAGGCATACAAATCAGTCTCACGCTGGTTGCACAAAGCAGTATGCAAGTTCATCTCACCGCGAGTGAAAGGCAATTAAGAGCGCAGATTTTCCATCACAACAACAGATTTCATTTCACAAAGGCGGTACACACATCTCTGTATCTTACGTCGTCCTGAGTAAACCACTTTATATGCACCATTATTTATGTGTAACGATTATTGAGACAGATTTGTTGTCTCCTTGAATCTTATAGCGACAGGTTAGAAAGGTTTAGGGTAACTCAGTGTTTTTCACTAAAGAGACATCTTTATACATCCATGTTATAACAATTTGCTTTATGATATCGACAAAGTTTGCTTAGAGTCAAATCTAACTGAATAGTACAAAAAATACCTCTGTTAAGTTAAAATTACGCATTTCAAATACAAAGCTTTTTTTTCATGAATGGAACGTGATATGAAGGTCATACAGCAAATCAAACGTATCGTCAAAATCAGAAATTCTGAATTTATCGATTTACTACAAAAACATAGACTAAAAAGAGAAGCACATGTTGAATAACAGTTGAAAATATCATCGCTTCCACAGGATGTGGTTTTCTCGTTGTAACATAGGGGTCTACACATATGCTGATGTTGTTTTTCTCAGTATCTTTATAGCGACTCACCTACATACTGGACGGATGGAATACAGATTGACCGTTGCCGGTAAAGAGAGTGATACTGCACTAGCACACATTTATATCACATCCGCGAAAGCGATACAATAACGTTTGTAGGAAACTTGAGGACCACCTTGCCATCACAGCTCTGAAGAAGGTAATATCGCCGATCTGCGAGCTATAATCGAAATTTGTAATAAAGTCAAAAAAAACCCCAGACAAATGCTTATTTATGTGGAGATGAAAAAGAAGCCAGTAGTGATATTTGCCACGTAACTTCTAGCAGTGAACAACACTGCCGATTGTGTTTCAAATGGCGCTCTTAAAAAGCCCTGTAAAGGCTTTGACTTACAGAATTCATAACTTCATAGTCTACACTATTGTCAAAAAAATCCCTTAATCTACCATATGTGCAAATGACACATCATAAATCACGATGAAAAGTATTTTTAAAATTCTCATGTCTGTCAAATATTCCTTCATACTTTCCGATTTCGACGATTTACAAAACTTGTGATCTAGAGCTAACAAATTGCACTTCTCATAATCAGCAGTTCCTGCATCTCGTACACTAACATCGCCCACTTTTTTGTGCGCATTATTCAAACCTTGCAGGCAAAACTGTTTGTTGCATTGTTAGCTTTACTTCTGACTTGGCTGGCAACGTCTTATAGCAATTAAAAGGTGGCTTTTTTTGTTGCGCTTTTGTGCCAATGCAACGTCTGTAGTTGCTGTATAATTTCTTCTCCAGCGTGTAACCAAACAGTTACATTGATTCTGCATCAATTCGCACTAGATTAAGAAAGATTTAAACTTTGAAAACTTCCATCTTTAACGTGATATAAACTTTTACAGTCAAATTCTGACCGTTAATGACAGATGCTTCACTTCAGATCATTGTGTTAACTCACATTCGTCACCTGGTATAGGATTATAGCACAAATGAGCCAAGTCAGTTCACGCTATATGTCTTGGAGACCTCCACCAAAGGCGAACAACAATGAATGTGAGATCGGGAACATTACACAGTACAATTCATACTACGTACGTTGAGTTCATAGAGTCTATAATTCGATCTCGCACTCAAGGCTTAGCAAATCATCCATCTCTCTGCGGTCAGTAAATTGATACCAGGCTGGTCCCATAGTTCCCTAACATTGAATGCGGCAGTGACTCCATAAAGCGATAGGCCACCGCGAGTCATTGTAAAAACCCGATATGCATTCAATAACCTTGAGTGAAGTTAGAAACTGAAGACGAAAGCACGGCGAAAGCACGGAAAGCAGGCATTGATCAACGCGGACAGCACTACGCTTTATCCTAAATGCTGAATGAACATGGCAGGGAAAAGTAGAAGATTGGAGAATACTACAAATTCCGTACAAAAAACAATTAAGCCTTTCACGAGGACGTGCTACGTTTCGTAGCGTGCTGCGCAAGGTAGGATCTCATCCACGTACCGTAATTGCGACGTTGCGGGTTTCTATTGGCACAGGTCGCAATGGAATTAAGAAATTTGCTTACAAAGTTAGGATTCTGGGAGACACTGTCATCATCAAATGATGGAACATCATTGGATGGCATTTATAAGCATCTTACTAAGAAAAACAACACTAACTGTTATTTAACATGTGCTTCTCTTTTTAGTCCATGTTTTTGTAGTGAATCGATAAATTCAGAATTTCTCATTTTGGCGATACGTTTGATTTGCTGTATGACCTTCATATTACGTTCCACTCATGAAAAAAAAGCTTTGTATTCAAAATGCATTATTTTAACTTCACAGCAGGTATTTTTTGTACTATTTAGTTAGATTTAATTCTAAGCAAACTTTGTCAATATCATAAAGCAAGTTGTTATAACATGGATGCATAAAAATGTCTCCTTAGTGAAGAACCCTGAGTTACCCTAAACCTTTCTACCTTTCAATGTGGATTGCATGGAATGCACATGTACTATGGGGAATAACTTCTGTTTCCTGCCTTATTTTACTCAGCAGAGATTCACTAGACTATTAGTGATCATTCAATGGTTTATAAGATTCATATTACAACAGATAGATTATGGAAAAACTTGCATATTTTGTTGGCAGCAAGAAGAATGTCATGATTTGCAATTGGACGGCACTGTTATAACTTCACAGCGGATTTTCTTGGCATTATATTCTAAAATAGTGATTCTAAATATACTTTGCCTCTCTCACAAGATAAATCAATTTTAGAGGCATGAATGTATATATGTATGTATGTATATATGTATATACATATATATAAAGAACGCGGAATGGCGAGTGAAAGTTGCCATTCGGCGTTTTATAACTATAGGTGCGAAGCTAAGTTTCGTTAGGAAAAGGGTTCCATAGAGCTATGGAAAAGCGAAAGTAAGGTTACATCTTGCACAGCTAGGCTTCGGCTTGATTCTTTGGGTGACGTATAATTAAAAACAGGCCTATTCCTATAGTAGAATACCACGGTTGAAGAGAAAGTTCTGGGACACTTTGATAAGCATGAGATAACTCTCATGCATATTGTGGGAATAGTACAGTCGCTTATGTGTGACTGCCCCTCGTTGACCCGAGCCCAACATGTCTACATCCACGTGCACATCTGCAGTCGGGCCAGCCAGAGCAGTAGTGTCAGCCACGATGCTGCAGCCGTCGTCAGTCGCTACAACACTTCGAAAATTGGCAACTCCTCTGTGAAATACGGAATTACGCGTCCATCTTATAGAAGACAACTTGAACCCTTTGGCTTCCAGCGATCAACCCTCCATGCGTCTAAGTGGCAAGAATAAACTGTCTGCCCCACCTCCCCTACGTCCTTGACCTTCAGCGATACAGTATACTCCGGTTTAATGGAGCACGTTTTCTATCGCGCTCTATGTCGCTAAGAATTCATTATTAGGGATTGATGTGATTGAACTAACACCGCCATCTTGAAAGCATATTATTTTTCCATTGGAATGATTGGATATTGGGTGTTATTTGATAGTTTATCACTACAGTAACGAGTTTGAAAGCACATTTCGGCATTGAAGCCAGTCAAATGCCGTTCTAAGTTGTGGAACCTGAAGAGCAATACGACTCAATGCAACAGTCAAACATCCTTCGTTTCTGTTCCGACAACGGATATGCATCCAACTAAGAATAATTGGAAAAGGAGTTAACACCACTGGCTTTCGATCTCACCACGATTTAATCGCGCTCAAATAGATGAAGGACGTAATTGCGGACATCCGCATGGATCGCAATAGTCGAGCGCGGATGTTCAATTCGCGACTGATCCCAGAGGCGAACCGTGGCTGCAGTGCGGCTTTTTCAGTCTGTTAGATGGTTTTACTGTTTTTTTTTTCTTTCAACGTGCTTTTTTTCCCATCATTGTGCTTCACGGACCACATCACGTTCGTATGAGATGCGATGAAGGTGTCGCTGCGATGAGAAGGTGACGATTCCATCATGATTTCGTGTGTTTCCGCTACTTATTCTCATTGTTATGACGCTTCAGATTTACCTAGAAGAATTGAGTGTTAAGCAAAAAATCGACCTGGCATGGGAATTGAACCTGCGTCTCGCCCATACCGAGAGCACATGCTACCATTACAGCACAGCCACACCGTCTCACTAGCGTTTCGATACGTTTGAAACATCAAAACGCTGCAAAAATTAGTGAAAACATGGAAAAAATTTTGAATATCACATATCACAGTGGCTGTCAACTCAGCTGGGTCTATATCGTGATGTGTGCCTACACTAGCCTATTAAATGATCGTGGCTGTTAGCTATGATAGCGACATGGAAGAATAGTCGTTTCGAAAAGGCGCCTTGGTGGTGTAGTGGGAGCACGCGTCCAAGTATGGGTGAAATGTGGGTTCAGCTTCCGTCTGAGATCGAATTTTCGCTTACCACTCAATTTACTTAAGCTTATTTGATCCTTTTATGATCACATTGTACTTATTACAACATTATCCTTCCCTTGATTTACTGAAATTTTTATTTCGCAAGCTTCTGGATGGAATTTTTTTCACCAGGTGGTTTGTTCAATTGAAGATTGTATTAGGGCGTGTGAGATCTAGCTGGGAAGTGAGCGATGAGGTGCTCTTTGTAGGTGTTGCGGCGGTGCAGCGGAGAATGTCGCGTAGAGAGTATAGCTTGCCACTCAAGTCTGCTAGTAGCAGCTACTTTTTGATATGAGGGATGAACCCATGAGATATGTTGATAACGGGTTTGCTGAAATGAGAACGTCGCCTTGGGTATCTTCTGGCGATATTTATGCCAATTGCAGGTTGACTTTTCGACAAAAGAGGCCGAGTAACTCGAAGCCCTTGTGGCCAATTTCAGCTTCTAATCAAATTCATGTTTCAAATCTCTGTAAACTTAATTAATTACAATGACATATATTCGAATCACAAGATTTGTTTCTTGTTAACGTAAAAGCTTTCTTGTTCGACCACGTCGTTGAGATTCTTTTCTTCTGGAACCCATGACATCTCTTTCTCCTCCTTCATCGACGTAAAGCCTGTATTGGAAACCTAACGCAATCAAGTTGATGGAGTCTTGATTAGTAAAACGGAGTAGCATTTTTCAAGGTATGGTTCTCCCTCGAGGCTGCATGTATTTTGTTGGAATCTTTTAACTAAAGTTTCCTTATCGAATTTTTTCAGTGTTCCAATTCTAAGCGTTCTTTGAATTCAGAAGACGCCGTTATAGATCTTATGTACACATTAAATTCCATCGAACATTGCCCTGTAGAGACCATGGACCCAACCGTCTGCACGTCTAACTGGTAAGGCTAGACGGACCCCCTCCTCCTCTGCTACTCTAACCCCAGAGTGAGCATCGCTGTCCATCTCACTCCTCTCTGCCACTCGGCGCAATGAAATGCGGCGAGCAGTCCGCAGTGAAGGTTACTGGTTCGATCTCCCATGACTATATGTCAATGTAGTTCTTTCATTGCTATCAACTGATCTTGACTAGTATTCGAGAATGCTCTGTAATTCAATTCTCATACTGAAAGACTCTCAGTTAATTTTACATCTCATTGCTTTTTCTTTCTCAAAAAAACTCGTTGTTTTGATAATTTCCGGCATTAGGGCAAGAACTACATTATTGGACGATATCGCCTTTCAAACTCGAATTGCAATTTCTTTTTATTAGTTCATTTTATCACAACCTCCATCTTATTCATCTTTCATTTTTCACGTCAACATCAATTCGCTTTTGCAGTATAGCTTTAGAATTTGCTCAATTAAAAAACAGTTTATTCTCATAGAATACGTAAGAGAATTAAGCGGTGAGCAAAAATGTGGTCTCAGGCAGGAGTCGAAGCCGCGTTTTAACCATACCGGAGACGCCCCCGAAGACTGAGGATTCTTGCTCATCACTCAATTTGCATAAGTGTATATGAAACATCATAACACTGATTAAAAAATGCAGAAAAAATACTGGAATTCTCGAGCCGCATAGATTGAACCTTTCATGAGATCTATTATGGCACTTATACAGTGCAGTACACTTGTTTTGGCCTTTCAATCTCATTTGCACGATGCCTTTCCGTTCAGCCAGGTCCGCGAGAAGAGGTATTTTCTGTGTAGGAGCCGACGCTGAACGTTTTACACGCCCGGTTTAAGTGATAAAATCAGCGAACGGGCACTGCTGTTTACTCGATTGCTCTTGGCTAATAATCGTTAAATATCATGTTTTTACTTTCGGCTATTTCTGAGACCTGTCTCAGAACAATGTAATTTGAAAACAGATTTTCAGCTGTTGATGAAGTCTTTTATGGCATTTGTAAAGCACTAGACACGTGATTTGGTCTTTTCGCTTCTCAGATGCACGATTCCTTCTGGTCCAGTCAGTTACTTGTTAGGGGACATACACCGTGCACGAGGGAATCGACGCCGAATTACTTACACTGCCTGTTTCGGCCTTACAGCCTCATCAGTGAGATGACTTACACGACGCCCTGACGGTCAACGTGATAAAACCACCTAATGTGCAGTATTTTACAGTGGATTGCTCTGGCTAGTTGAATGCGCGTTGTACTTCCTTTCTTTTCGACTGTTTTTGGGGAATCGCCTAAAGCAGTGTATTATCAGTTGACATATTGTAAGCCTTTCAAAAGGTTTGTTTTGGCATTTTTAGTGCTACATATAAGTGTCGGCCTTGTGGTCTCATCTTTAGCACGGCCTACATATGAAGGATTCGACGCCAAATTATTCACACTGTCCGTAACGTGATAAGATCACGCGCGCGCAGTGTTTTATAGCAGATTACTGATACTTCAAGATGCGCGTCTGATTTTCATTATTAACATTTATAGCGAGTCTTTAGAGAGTTCAAAGAACAAACGTTTCCTGACATAGGCAAGACTCCGAATTTCGCAGCGATAGATTAGGCCAACATCTCTTAAAGCTGTCTTGAACAGGAAGTCCAAATTAAAACAGGAAACCCATGCGGCTAACGGTATAGCAAATCATGCAGCATTCATTGCTATCTTTATATTACCTTTCGCATATGAGTGATATCATAACGTGCTCGATTGTTACGGTATACTTGACGGCGAGTGGAGGCGGTTGCGATGCGGGAGGAGCGATACGCAGTGGACGTACGTAGGCAATGAGCCGACGTCGACGACAGTCGAACGCCTTCAACTGACTCGTGCGGCCGTGTGGTTACCTATCCTCTTCGTATTCGTCTCCTTCTCCCTTTAGCTTAGCGTTTGCCTACGAACGATGTTTATGACTCGATGTGGCACAGTTCAATTGCTGATTGTGGCTTAATCCATATGACGTATTTTTGCTTACCACCTTTTTCTTGATGGTTGTCTGCTCCGTGATCACTAAAGATTGTAATTGCAAACCCAGGTCACCAGGTCACGGAGACGAGCCTAGTGATGGGGATCGTGGGGCGACTCACCCCCAGGGATGGGTAGCGGGCTTTTAGGGCGATCTAGAACATACAGTGTGAGACTTTATGACTTATGACTACTATGAAACTCACACATCGTCGACCCGGCCTACCGCCCTGGGGTTTCATCATTCCGAGGCGAACACGATAGCCTCCCTGGTTTTCCCGTCTCCTGATTGAGGTTTGCAAACCATTTAAGTAAACTACAGTTAGTTCTCGCTCTTTGTCCTCATGTATTTGACCCACGTTAACATACTACTAAAGTTATGAAGTAACTACTAGTCAATCTACCACAGTGTATCGATTTATCGATCGTTACGTAACATGCCGTTTTGATCCGCCAATTGGATTGGTTGGCGGATGTTAATGTATTATATGTAATTGTTGTTTATTTTAGGTTGTTTTCTATTAAGCGATTTATTCTGGCTATTATTTCTAATGAATTAATCCGTGTGGCAGGTATACCAACACATGACATTTGACAGGGGCATTCACACTGCAATCACTACAAACGGTGATAACTGCTAGATAAGCAAATCCTAGCGCAAGTGGCATAGTAGTTACAGATAATTTGCGTCGCACACAAGGTTGACCGTGGGATCTCGCGCTTATGGCTCACCAAGCTATCCACTCCTCCGGGATTTCTAAATTAGTACTAGACTGATCGCAGACTTGTCTGGAAGAACAACACTCGATAAAATGGGAAACAAGCGCGAGTGTTATAAAGGCCAGATATGCAATCATTACTGCAGACGAAGTTAAAAATCGAAGAAGAATCTGTGGCGCATCCCTCATGGATCGATATACTTCAGGAGCTTTGTCCTTTTATCCTTTTACTACATCGGATATTCTCAGCGAATTGCAGAAAAAAGTTTTTTCTTTCAGGAGCGACATGTGTCAAATGTGAATCCAAAATGTCTCAACACCTTAACGAAATCCATCCTTTAAGGACACGGTATCACTGTACCAAATTTGTACTGGATCACCAGGTGCGCATTGTCTCTCTGATTCTCCGTAGACATATACTGTAAGAGTACCGGGAATCAATCCCTTATGAGCTTAATCGCTGTGGATTGGCACTTCTTGTTGATAACAATTTTAGATCGGAAAAATAATGCTGACTAATCTTAGATTTTATTCTCTTTAAGCAAATTTCGAAACGCAGGCTTGCATACGCAAACGACTTTGCGGTCATGGTGAAGTTGGACAACAATTTGTCTTTCACTTCATCAACCAAATCACCATCTTCTTGTATTGTCACGTTGCAAATGCACTGTTATTGGCAAGTATAAAGGGCGAACAAGCTAACAAAGGTGACTCTGGTGAATTGGATGACTTTGATGACGCTTAGAGATGGTGGAAGTACTTGCAAAATTATAACCACAAGACGTGTGTGTCATTGCAATCTTCCTCATGAAGTCGAACTTGTGAAGATGCCTTTTTGACATCTGAAGTGATTGTGATTTGTCCGAATCTGGAGCGATAAGATTCAAAACAGTTCGGGAAAAATAAATGGACCTGGATATAGCATGTACTTCAATGACAGATATTCCTTGTTGTGAGCCGACGCATCATGAACTGTGTTCTATGTTCACCTTTCTTTCGACTAATATTTGAGATACATAATGTGATAAGAAATCTTGAGTCTTTCAAAAGGTCTGTTATTTTACCACACAGCCCATCTTTAACAGACCACATGACATGCGTGGC